AGCCATTTTCGTCCCATCAACAAAAACAAGCCACATCCATGGAATAGCCGTGAGGCAAAGCTACGTTGTACGTTGACTATCGACAAAAATGAGAATGTAACCCTTTCAATCGATTATTGACTGAGCACTGTTGCAGTTGCATTTACCATGTATGATTTGAACAAGAGTGGTACAATCACAAAGGATGAATTCAAGGATATCCTACAGGTACTGATTTCTCAAATACTTGCCTACAAGGCGATGTAGATCATCTCCACCGTAGTCGGCCATGAAATAAGAATCCGCATGGCGCAACTAAAAAATTAGAATGGGAAAATGGATACAGGTGGCATTTATAGCTAAGGTCTAATACATTTCGTTTCAAAAAAAAGGTTAGCGTGATAGTTGCACCTATAAATGTGCTAATCTCTGATATTTCAAAGAAGCGGTTTATATCGGTTAGTTATCTAGAAGATACAAATTTTGGAGAAAGCGAGTATGTAATAATCCACGCCCCATCGACGTACGTGTTTTCGTGCCAAGCCAGATAATTTGCGCTAATTGATTCACATGCCATGTCTGGCAATAAACTTTTGCCCACATTTTGTTAGAAAAGTTTTCCCTCATTAACAACAATGCCGACGAGCTTCAAGACTCAGGGAGCTTACAATTAAAAAGGCTTAGAAGAATACAGTAATTTTAGGGTTATTTCTCGTCACGTGAATTGGAAGTGAAATCTAGGAAATCGTTTTACACCGATTCTTTATGGCGATAACAATAATGATTACTTTGAGTTAGAGAGAAATCCATTTTCAGATAAATAGCATATTTTAGAAATGTAATGCATCTTAGAATAGTTTTTTTTTGTTCTTCCATGGTAGATATTTTATACACACATCTCAAAACTCCATTTTTTATTGTTCCATCGGTGTTTTTGTGGAGGTGCACAAAAATAAGTGGTTTATAAATTCAGATGATGATAGGGGCAAATGTACCCGAAGAACAAGTGAATTCAATTGCTGATCGTACGATGCGAGAAGCAGACAAGGATGGCGACGGATGTATCACTTTTGCTGAGTTCTGTCATGTAAGTTTTCGTGTGCACTATTAGATCCAGATAGCGTATGCTAGGTCTTAAATGATCGATTTTCATGAAAATCATCTCAGTTCAACGGTAAAAGAAAATCGTTCATTTAATTGTTTGAAAAAGAAACTTTAAAAATGCTAGATTTAGAGACTAGCTTAATTGTGATTTGTGTTCCGAAAAAGCCACTTTTTAGGCAATGGAGAAGACTGATATTGAACAGAAGATGTCATTCCGCTTTCTGACTTAAACTACGATTAGCAGTATTTTTTATGTGTGAAAATGAATTTTTGGTGTTGTACAAGTAAATGTTTTTTGGAATCTTCTATTGATATTCAGTAGTGTAGATCAAGAAGATTATTTGTTGATTTTCCTCTAATCTAATGTTTAAAATAACTGCTGTTCACAATTTTTCGTTTTTTCATTGTCATGTTCGAAATTTATGTCTCATAAAACTTGAATTTATCACATTTAATACAGCGTAGTTATCTGGATATTCACTGATATTGGTGATTGTTTTAAAAATCAATTTATCGATTTTCTTTCCCACTATCCTCTTCTTCTTGAGGTGGTTTCTTTCCCTCGTCTTTCTTCGATTCTTCGCGTAGTCCATTAACGGCGTCAGTGACTTTTTTAACGGTGTTATTGTTGTTTACTTCAGGTGTCGGCTCAGTTCCAAATATGTTGAATGGCAGAAGGCTGCTGAGCTGAAAGTAACGCCAAT